GATTTAGTACTGAACGATAATGTAAAATTATTGTATTCAGTGCCTGAACGATCATCTTTTGTATCTGTTTTGTTTGCTTCAAATGACACTGGACGCGTTATAATCGGCTCAAAAACATTTTTGATAAAAAATGTATACAAACGTTGTGTATTGAAATTTGTTTCGAATAGCATGTAGAGAATGTCTTGCAATGCTTTTTTATCATTGTTCACTTTGACAGTAACACATTTTGTTTTATTATTATTATTAACACAATTGGACAAATGAATTGAACTGTGATTGTAATGTATCCAAAAGTGTCTCATGTTCCACGTGCCATTTTAATTTCATACTTTGAAAACATGCTAATTCACGAATTATTTCTTTATCTGATTCTTCAAAAATGGCATTGCGCAAACTATTAATGGTATCCCGAATATCTAAAAATGATTGTTGTTGCTTGGCCTCGTCCAATGTTTGGAACATTGCATCGATGCGTAAAAGACGTTGTTTGACGCGTAAACCGACACGCATCTCTTACAATTCTTTTAAATAGCGTTGCACATCATCAGCAGCCGATAATATTTCATCTTTTGCATCATGTTCTATACTTTCAAGTAATTTTTCAACTTCACGCGATAAAGCATCGGCATGGTCTAAATATTCGTTGTTTTCGTTGACCGCATCACTAAATTCAATATAATTTTCTTCCAAATAGGCTTTAGATTCATTTTGAAAATTTCGTATCTCTTGATTGATTTTCTTTAGGCATAATCGTGCATTCGAAATTTCACTCTCTTTCACCACACTCATTACTTCTGATAGTAGACCCATTTTTGATGCGTTATTGGTAAGAAATCAAAATGACAAACAAAAAACTAAATAAAATACAAATTTATTCAATGAAAAATTCGTTTGTTTCATTCTCTATGCTGACGCACTGAAAATCAGAACATTATAGAAGTTCATTAAATTTATTGAAGTTGAAAAAAAGAGATGAAACAGTCCGTGTTTTACTTTTGTCTTTATGTTTATTGTCTAAATGTTCGAAAAAGTACAATATTTTTGCTTCTGTTTGTAATGACAACCGCTTGCAAGTAAACCTCAATAATTTTATCGAAATAATACTCGGTATCCATTTGGCATGTTATGTTGAATTGTTTGTTCCAAAACATCATTTATCCGTGGTAACGTTTGATTAAGTGCATGATCAAGTCGTATCGATTGGCGGCCATTCAAGATTCGGCAGCAATCAAGTAATTCACGTTCCAGCCTCGAACAAAAAGTCAAAATTTGCCATTTCATCATATCAGTAGCATCACTATGCATCGACATCTGGTTAATGAAATATAAATGAGTAAATACTTGAAATTTTCGTCTTTTATTCAAGTTAATCTTACCAGATGACTGAATTCGCTGATTTGCGGAAGATTTCGATTGACAATTCCACGTATGGCATGTGCGCTTCTTCTTTCGAGGATAAATGTAAACGGGCCGTTTCCCAAATTAACATTAACACCGAAATTTGTCAGATAATCTAGACTCATTTGCTTCCAACCTCGATAATAAAAGATCAACCGATACAAATCAACAGAACCGATATTGATTAAACGACGTTGCACATAGAAATTCAGCATCTAAAGTTGAAAATGGATTTGAATGTGAAACGATTTGTTAAAATACCAACAAATAGATAAAAATATACCTCAGAAATGCATTCGATCATGTTTCGATGAGCCAAAAGAAATTCATCTCCAATATTCATTTCTTTTGAGTCAGTTTTCAGATCGGTCAGTTCGGATAGTTCACCATCAAGTTCACATTTAATCGTTCCAACTTTTGGGGTTAGACTTAAACCCTCCATCTCTTTTTTTATTAAATCCATTTGTTGTAATTAAAATGTTACAGTTATTTTCAATGTGAAAAAATGAAAACATGCAAATGTCAACAATCTTCATACAAATTGACTGTGATGTTTTTATATGTGAAAGATGAGATGCGAAGCGATGCTAACGCCAGCTATTGGTTTTTGAACTAAATAAACATTTAAAAAAGTCAGTATTGATTCAAAATTATTGTAACTAAGCAAAGGCATGAATTTTTCCCCAAATTCAATTTGATTTAGAAAGTTTGAAGAAACTTCTCTCAATTCATTCTCCACTTTTCGCAATGAACATTTTTATTTCTGAAATTATTTGCCATACATTTTTGTAGCTACGATTTCTCATGTACAGCCCTTTGCTGAATTTTGATTTTACGGTAGGTCAATATGAGATCATGGAAAATGACACGTATATTGTATGTCGTACATCAATTGAATAGGTTAGAATAATAGTGACCTGGAAATTCGTTAAAAATGAAAGAGCAACATGGAGTTTTTTTCATACGGAATTGTTGTTGTATTTTCTGTAAAGTCTATATAAAAAAACTCCATGTTGCTCTTTTATTTTCTAACGATATCTCAGGTCATTATTATTCTAATTCTAAATAAAAATTTCTCTTTCAATTCCTTTTTATTAAATATCGAAATGAGAATTGAAAATACAATAGCAAGATTTGATGGTCCAATTTAAATGTTTTGCTGTATAGTATGGCGTATAGAAGCAAAATGGATGCGTCTAATGCCAATGAAAACGATTTGTGTCAGTTTGATGATACATGAAAAAAATTTGAATTCATTATGAGTGCATGGAATATATGCAAAAATTAAATTTATTTTATTATTATATTTTCATTCATATTACTTTTTTTTACAAAATACTATCTATATAAAGGTATTCATCTAATAGCTTCATAAAATTATATTGGTTCGTTTGCAATTGCTTTTGCTTGAGTTCCACAAGCCACTTCAATATTTTTAAAACCTTTTGACTCGAGAATATCCGTCAATTCTTTTTTTATTTTTTGAACAACTGGTGGTCCATGACAAATTAGCGATGTATAAATTTGAATTGCACTTGCTCCAGCTATTATTTTATCAAATGAAACTTGTCCATTGAAAATTCCACCAACACCGATGATTGGTACTTTACCTTTAGTCAATGTATAGAACTTTGCTATCAACTTTGTCGAACGTTTAGCCAAAGGAGCGCCGCTAAGTCCACCAGTTTCTGATTTTTCTTTACTTTGCAAGAAATCATTTCTCTCAACGGTTGTATTTGAGATGATAAGACCATCGACGCGATATTGTTTTTTAGTAATAACCGATACAATATCTTTTACATCATTATCGGTCAAATCGGGTGCAATTTTTAATAAAATTGGAGGCAATTTTGTTTGGTCTAGTTTATTTCTCGCTTCAATAACTTTTCCTAGTAATAATTGAAGGTTCTCTGCTTGTTGCAAATTCCGTAATCCAGCCGTATTTGGACTACTTACATACAAGAAGTTTGAATCAGAATAGTTTTTGCATATAAACTCGAGGATGATGATGACTGGAGTGACTGGGATGACCAGGATGAGGAACATGAGAAAAAATTCGATAAAGTAAACACACATAGAAGTTTTCGGTGAATCGTTACCCGAAAACCCTGTAGTAGAGTCGCTTACAGAGAATCACTGTAGTATTTCACATTACTACAGAGTTACCCTGTAGTATGTAAGCTTTTTACCAAAATGGCGCAAGAATACGACTAATCTGTCAAAATTGAATATCACATCAAATTATTTTATTTGAATAGCCAACCAAATGTAAGAACAAAATATGGTTTTTATCTATTTTATTTGTATAAGTGAATATATCATTTTACTGAAATAATTGTAAAGCATTTGAAATGCCAACATATGTTACGAGACAATGCTCACGAAATCTTGCGTTATTTTCGAGAAAAGCTTACATACTACAGGGAAACCCTATAGTAATGTGAAATACTACAGTGATTCTCTGTAAGCGACTCTACTACATGGTTTTCTGGTAAAGATTCACCGAAAACTTTTATGTGTGAAGATAAACGAATACTTATTTCATAATTATTTTAAACGCAGTAAAATAGAAGATATAGCTCATATGAATTTAATTCTAAGTGAAAGAAAAATGTATTATGAAATGGATTGGTAAAAGTGTCTATTGCAAAAATAAAGAGTGAAGCTTTTATTGTGTTTCAATCATATGAAATTTATTTGTTGTTATTTATTTATTTATTCACACATCTTTTCAATAGAGAAGTAGTAATGAGAGAGAGGTAATACTTTTCTTATCATATAAAAATTGAATAAACACTTGGTGCGTTTTGAATTGTTTGCTTTTGTTGCTTTTTTCGAATTGTTTGCTTGTTTGAAATCAATTACACGTCCGCTTCTCAATTCCATCGAAAAACTATCGAATATTGGTTTTACTTTTGAATTTAATTTTAATAGTGCATTAATATATATTTTTGGTTTAGAAGTTTCCATATTCTGATTTGAAATGACAACTATTCAAAAGACAAAAAACATTAGAAAATACATGTCTACTTATTTCTTTCCAACAAAATAATACGAAAAAAGCTGGTTCAATTTAAGGTCTTTTGTTTACATTCTGAAAGCTTCGTAGTTTTTTTACTTTGAATGCATGAGCATCATATGAATATAAATACCAATAGGCACACTCAAAACGA